CCGTGGGGGAGGGGGAGATCCCCCGGGGATGGGGCAGTGACCCCCCCGGCAGCGTGGGGTAACCCCTGGGGGAGGGGGGTGAGCCATGGGGGCATGGGATGAGCCCTGTGTTTACAGGGTGGGCCTTGGGGACACGGGAGATCCCCTATAGAAGAAGCATGGGGTATCCCCTGGAAGCACCTTTTGGGGAGTGGGGTGACCCCTGAGAGTGTGGGGTAAGCCATGGGGGTGTGCGAGATCCCCTGGAGACATGGGGTGAACACTAGGAGCATGGGGTAACGCCCAGAGCATGCGGGTCACCCCTGGGAGCATGGGAGATCCTCTGGGTGCTGGGGAATGACCCCCTGGAGGCACGGGGTGAGCTCTGGGGGTGTGGGGCATGTTCCCACTGCAGCCTGGGGCTCTGCAGCAGGCCCTACAGCTGCCCTCGTCTGGGGGCACGCTGAGGACGGAGGAAAGGATGTGCTCCAGCACCCACCCACCCGTTGGGAACAGCACCGTGTGGCCTGCTGGGACTTGTCACCTCTGCTGCCCCTAAATGATGCAGGATGCAGGGATGAGGTGGGCAGGAGGTCCTGAGCAGCACTGGGCTGCAAGGGGTCTAGTAAAGAGAGCCCTCGAGGCTCGGGGCAGAGTCCAGATGGGGCTGCGTGGCCTGGGAGGGAGTCCGTGCCAGGCCCCGCGCAGGACTGGTGGCAGCCGCACACTTACTTTCCTCCTCTATGGTGAGGAGAGCGGTTGTGATCACCTCGGTCGCCTGGGAGGGCTGGTCTCGGCCGTCTGTGGCTGCTGAGCCGAGCACAGGGACACACGCGTGCGTTGGGGCGCAGCACCCACAGCTCCCGCACCCCCTGCGCACGCCCCCCGAGGGGCTTCGCCCTCAACAGCGCCGGGGGTATCTAAGTGCTGTGGTGGCCCCCCCGGCGAAAACTCCTGCGGGGAGGAGGTGGCCCCCTTTTGCCAAGCATTTCCCTGGGACCTCACCGGCGGAAGTGTCAGCCAGGAGCGCCCCCAAAGCCTCGTGTCAGGGCCCCAGGAGCGGCCACGCCGCAGAAATCAGAGGACGTCCAGGATCTGGCTCAGAGCCCCCTTGCAGGAAGCCACGTTTGTGTGGGCAATGAAGTGCCCCGGCCCGGCTCTCCTGACTACGACCCAAGAGCGAGCCTGGTGGCTGCAGGCCTCCTGCTCGGCCTGGGGTGGTGCCAGCCTACCTGTGGCCGTGGCAGTGAGCGTCTCTTCATACTCCAGGGCCACCGAGGTGGTGAAGGATGTGACGGTGGACATGTCCAGCCCTGCAGTGACACAGAGGGGCAGAGGTTACATGTACTGGGAGAAGCTGAAGAGCAGTGAACTCTACCTCTGACTCCGGGACACAGACCAGGGTAATGAGGCAGCAGGTTAGACCTTGTTCATCCAGGCATCTCTGCAGGCACCAGTGAGGTTTTGCATTGGTGCTGAGCTGGTTGAAGGGCTGGAGATGGTGTTTCTCAGGCTCAAACCACACTCATGCCAGGGTTCCCACCTGCGGGGCCAGGAGACCTTCGCTTTTTCGAAGACTTAACGTGCGAAAGATTTATCACCCCGACCCAGGCAGGGTCAACAACAGCACAGCGGCGCAGCGGCGGAGGCCAGGGAGCCAGGCGGCGGGCTCTCCAGTTAGCAAAAAACCTCATGCCTGGTTATTCCTGTGTCACGCTGAGCAAGGGTGGTGGCAAGGGGCTGGAGGGTGGGCGGCTGCCCCATCAGCTGTGCCCAGGCGAGCTGCCAGGCCAGCGTTTCCCACTCCCTCCGCACCCAGCACAAAGGATGTTTGAGGAAGAAAGGAACAGCCTGAGAAAATTGCCCATTTCTCCCCGCATCAGCCCCTTTGTTAGTTAATAGTGGGAAAGCGAAAGTGACGGCACTTACTGCTCCACTCATTAGCCATGATAATGAGGGAATTCAAGGGGATTATTAACATTATAAATGGTAATCAGTGGATAATGACAGAAATACATAATTTAGCGAGGGGAAGAGAAAGGCAGGCCGGGCCTGGCTGAGCGCCCATCCACTGACAGCCAATCGCTCACTTCCGGACCGAGGCAGCTTGTTTTCCACCAAACAGAGCAGGGAAATCGCAGGCAGGCAGAGTCATTTCCCTTGCAAATTGCTGCTCAGACATGTCCCAGCCTCTCCTGCTCTCAGTGCTGTGTTTTATCCTTCTCCTGCGCGCCAGCATGACAGCAGATAAGGAAAAAGGATGCTTCAGCGGCCAAGAGCCTAGTCAAGGACCTGTGTTCAGTTCCCCGCGTGACCTTGGGCACATGGGAGTCTCTCCGTGGCTCGGGTTCCCCTCGGAGGCTGAGAGGTCCCCACTTTTCTCCCCCAGTAGGGTAGTCCTAACGGCAACGCTCTGCTCCGTTACCTGTGCAAATGACTCCAGCATCCTCGTGGTGGCCGCAGTTGTGGATCCCCCAGCCAAGGCTGTAGCAGGCGGAGAGGAAGGGCTCGCTGCCGTCACAGTTGACGTTGTCTAGGAGGATGTGCCCCGTGCCGTAGCCGAAATAGGCATTGCTCTTGTAATCCAGGGCTTGGCCGCAGCCCACCTGCTTGCACACCACGCTGGCGTCACTCAGGCCCCAGTCGTCATCGCACACAGTGCCCCAGTTCCCGCGGTAGAAGATCTCCACCCGGCCCTGGCAGGTGTCGGTCCCACTCACCAGGCGGATGCTGCCATCACCTAGAGGACGACAGCACACGGTGAGAAGTTTCTTGCTTTCACCCTGGGGGCAGAAGATGCCACGGCGCAATGATCCAAAGGATCTGCCTGTGCCGGTGATGGCAAAGAAACTGGCCCGGAGCCTGGAGGCTGGCTGGAAGAGGCTCTGTTTTCAGGCAGCGTTACTGATAGGAGCCTTGATAACCCTCTGTAATAGGATTTGACCATGGCAGGCACAAAGTGGAGTCCCCAGAGGTTTTCCCCTCTCAGCCAGAGGGCTTGGGCTGGTTGATGGTGGTTTAGAGGGGAAGCAGATATTGGGCTGGTGGATGGGAGAGGGACGGACACTGCTTTCTGCTAGCCTCTCCCAGAAGGACCTCAGGCAGGCAGGGCCCCGCGCGAAGGGGAGCGACGGCGGAGCAGCTTACTTTCTCCATGCTGCACCGAGGCTGTGACAGTCCTGCTCGTCGGTCCTTCGCTGGCTTGCATGGGTGAGAGCTCTGAAAAGGGAACCAAAGAGATGGCCTCGATTTCTGCCTGCAGAAATCCTTTCGGAGGGGAGCTGGGAGCAATGCCCCTGCTGTCAGCGCAGGCACCCACACCTTTCTGCTCCGCTGCTCCTCCCGCAGCGGCGCAAGCGGCACTGGGCACGCGCTGGCAAGCACGCTGTCCTGCACGCGTGCCCCGCCAGCCTGCCGAAAGCAGAAGGGCTTGCACTGAAAAAAATCACCCTAGGAGGTGAAGAAAGAGGGGTTTGCAGTTGCATGGTAAAGAAAAGGCACTTGGGGCCAGGGGCTCCACTGCAGGCTGCTGAGAAGTTGTGCCTCCACGTGCCCACAGTCACTGGCACTACATAATATCGAAAGGGCAGGCAGGAGTCAAGGCTCTCACCTGTCAAGGCCCTGGATCCAAAGTCATGGCATTAAGATAGAAAAGAGCAGTGATCTTTTAATTTTCCTGATGGTTTTATGTGTATTTCTTCTGATAACAATGTTATTTCAAGCAACTGTAATTCCCATCCTGCATCAACCCCCCTTTTACCGGCTGCGCTGGTAAAACTTTCTGTGGGCTGGGGTGGCAAACTGGGTAGGAGAATGAAGCCAAATTATACAAGAACTGGCCACACGCACGCAAAATGGCTAGGGGAAACCTCGCTGGAAACCCTGTCTGAACCCCTTTGCTCACAGAAATGCTGACAGCGTGTGAACAGCTGCCTGACTTCATGCTTTCCTCTGCAACCACAACAGCTAGAAAACTGGCTCTTTAAAAGCAAAGCTGATGTAATGGCACTGATCCAGGAGCCAGGACATCACAAAACCCCACAAAATATCACAAAACTCAAGCAAACGTGGTGAGAACTTGCAATGCTGAGCAACAGCTGGCTGGCCGTGTCTTTGTTCTGGCTCAGTGACTCTCGCAGTGGTTTTCAACAAATCACATAGCCTTTCTGCCGCACTCAGCCTACTGTAATTTGGGAACAAAGATATTCCCCTTCCTGCCCATGGAGAGCTTTTCTGGGAGTCCAAGATGGCTCAAGGCCTCGCCACAGTGAAGGCAAAACTGAATTTTGCTGCCCCATGAGGGCCAAAGCCAGAGAGCTTCTCCCACAGGACCGTAGCCGAGCGCTGAGGTTGCCTGTGCCTTGCTGGCGGTCGGCTCAGTTTGGGAATATTGCGGAAGGGCTGGGTCCAACAGAGCAATACGCGCTGGGCTCTGCGAGGGGGCTGCGGCACTGTTAGCTGGATGCACCGTCCCAGCTCAGCCACATTCGGGTCTGCGCCTTTCGGGTACCGCTGTCCGGCGGGTGTCCCTGCTTCCACGCTGCGCAGGGCGAGAGACCGTCTCCTCCCAAAGATTGGCTTTGCCCAATGCCTGGATTAAAGTCCTACATCTCCCCTGAGAGCCCCCTCAAACCCTACCCTGTTAATGACTGCACACTTCACAGCCTAGGTCTCCCTTTGCCAAAAAACACCTGAAAACTCAAGCTGCTCCTCTCCCCCCAGACCCACCTCCCCCAGCTCCCTTCTTCAGTCCTTTCATGTATCCTCTGCAGCTGCATCTTCAGTCAGGGTTTCTCCCTGGCCAGCCCAACCCCTAACCTCCTTTCTCCAGTCACTGCTAGATCAGTCCATCAGTTACTCCAGCAGCCCCCCCTCTCCAACCCTCCCCCTTCTGCAGGAAATACAGAGTCATTGAGCATCTGCAGCTGTGGCCAAGCTCTGGGTCTGCACATCCTCACATTTGCCAGTGTTTGATGCACAGCAGACGATTGTTATGCGCTGTATATCTGAGGAACAAACTGAATTGCCGTGGTAAAACGCAAATGTGTATGGTATGTAGGGGCTGACATGGAGCTGTTCCACTTTCACATGTCAAGTTCAAAGACTTTCCACTTCTTTTCTCACCTTTAGGAACATTTCCTACCAAAAAGCTCAGCAATTCAAATAAAGGCAGTCAAGAGGTGAAAAAAGCACTTGGCCAGTGGCTGACTCAGAGCCAGCAGCGTAGGTGGGTATGCGCTCTTTCCCCGTGGATCGCTCTGGAGAGGCTGAGAAGTCCCTGACCTGGGAGTGACAAGGAATACAAAACAGGCTGGTCGCCCTAGGGAGCAGCCAAGTGCTGAACTGGGAGGTGACCTGGATTGAAAAAAGGGGTAGGGAGAAGACAGAGAGGACGTTTGGCTGGTCCAGCTTCAGAGGAAAAGGCTCGGAGACATGACTGCTGGGCTCCCCCAGAGGGTTCATAGACACCCAGGCTTGTAACACTTTTAGCACCCCCCATCCCCACCAAGCCTTGTTACCGTTGCATATGACAGCCACATCCTCGTAGTGGTAACAGTTGTGGATGCCCCAGCCATGGCTCCAGCACTCGCTCAGAGCTGCCTCCCGGCCCTTGCAATCCACATTGTCCAGGAAGATGGGTCCGCTCCCTTGGCCAAAGGTCATGGCAGCTGGAAGGGTGATGGCATGGCCACAGCCCAGCTGGCGACACACCACATTGGCATCCACGATGTCCCAGTCATCATCGCACACTGTCCCCCAGGAACCATTGTAGAGAATCTCCACTCGCCCCTGGCACCGGCTCCCCCCCCCTCCGACGATCACAGAGAGATTGCTCAGCAGGCAACGAGCTAGCCCCGTGGCTAGGAGAGGGCAAACACAGAAGACCATTCAGCAGATGTCACAGGGAGGGTTTGAACACTTTCTGCACCAAAGCATAGGTTTCTGTTAATTAAACTAAACAAGTGACTCCATTAGCTATAGCACAAGTCAGCTGTTAACTTGCTGCTGCCCACTTGATGGCGAGTACTGGTTTCTGTTGGAAACAGCAGATGTGAATACTTGATACATCTTTGCATAAGTATTTGCACCAGACAAAGTATCACCCCACCATCTTGACTACTAAAGGCCTGGGAAACTACCCAACAGGAGAAGAGGAAAGTTATCATGTGACATCATGTGATGACATGTGACTTTGGTGACAAGTGACATGATGCAATTAGCAAATTGTTATTAGTCTCAACAAATGTGTCCAGAGTTGTTCCCAAGTGGGAATTGGTGGCATGGAAATGATTTCTCAAACTGTTGGCAGTAGGGAACATGCATGTAAGCGACCCTGGCTTGCAGCGTCAAGGGAATTATTCACTTGGGCATGATGAATGACACAATGACAGGCAGTTAGCAGGAGGTGGCACATTTTTCCTCTCATGGTAATAAGCAGACTAGGGATAATAAAGAATCTCCATTTCTTTTCTTTGAAGAAGTTTAGCTTTTTGTTGCCATTTCTTGTTCAAAACCAACATGCTTTCTTTTTGAAATTCCCTACCCCTCATTTTTAGCAAAAATGCGTTTTTTCAACTACAAAACTTTCCAGAGAAAAGCAGCTCTAAGAGGAGACTCTCACCTGGGAATGGCAACAGAGCAGGCTCAGAGATGTTGCCTGAAACGGAGAAAGAAAAGGATTAGCTCTCGCCAGTGTCCTTGCAGCAGGCAGAGGAAGGAGGTAACTCGAAGAATGACGGCAGCAGTGATTCAGGAGGGCGTTGCTGAGGGCCAGCAAGCCCCTAAAGAGCAACCGTGTGCGCTCTCCAGAAGTCAGCAGCTCTAATCCCAGGAGCACTTCCACTCTCCTAAGTAGCCTGCTTTCTTTCCGTTCAAGCTAAAGAGCTCTCTAAGGGCAGGATTTGTCTCGCAGGCTCTTTGTAATGATCAGCTGTTGCAGAGTAAGGGATGACCTTTCATGGGGAGCCCCTTCTTAGCATACTGGCTGCATTTCACAAATCACACGGAAGTCCGGGTGACTATCCAGACTTCAGGGCTAAGTTTTGTTGTCCTGGATTGGCCAGCATTATGTTAGCAGAACATCCCTTGTGTCTGGGCCCCCTAACGCTAAAGACTGGGGGAGGAGGATGCTCGTGGGAACTACTGGGTGTACAACCAAGGTGCGTGCGTCCCTAGGGCGGCTAGACCTGCCTCGATAACTAGTGAAATCAGCCTTGTTGCAGAGCCAACACACCACTCAGCTCCTTCGAACACAGCACAGAAGCAAGTATCGCACACTGCCGTGCTGCACATCTGTTGGAGTGGGAACATCTCCATTCAGTTTGCTTCTGAGGCCTCTCAGATCCTGCCTTTGATCTCTCCTGCCTAAAACAACTCATTGGAGTTGATTTTGGAAGCTCTGAGCACTTGAAATTTCAGCTTACTTGTGCTTTCCCTTTTCCACAAAGATCTAAGGTTTGTAAGGAAAAAAAAGAAAAACTCTGCACCAGAATATCATTTCATCTGCTTTGCAGATGAGGAAACTGAGGCAGCAGCATGTGGTGTCAATTATTTTGGGTCTGCAGTGGGACTGTCCTACAGAAAAGAAGAATGCAGGCCTCTTAGCTCCCGCCCATGTGCTGTAACCAGTAGATTACATGCCCCTCCACCACTGTCCTAAATCTTAGTCCACCAGTGCTTGTGCAGCTCCCTGAAATCCTTAGATGAAACGTGAAAGAGAGGTGCCAAGGGTCGCTATTAACAGCTTAATGAAACCAAGCTGCTCTCCTGGCTCACGCTTGAGAATTGCTAGCTTTCAGAGAGAAGGAGCCTTTTATTTCTCTCTCTCTCTCTCTCTCTCTCTCTCTCTCTCCCTCTCCTTTTTTCTCCTTCCATTGTTTCACTGCCAGCAGCTTGTATTATGAAAACGGTGACTGACAGCAGCAGGCCCAAGTGGATTGCACATGGGGCTGGGTCTCAGGAGACTTCATTTCTATTCCTGGCTTTGTTGCTGACTTGCTGTGAGACCTTGGGCAGCACATTTCCTCCTCCTTCTTCCCTGGCCTCAGTTTTCCCATCTGAAAAATTGGAGGATGAGATGGGAATGAGGAGAAATGATCCTGTCACGGGAAACCTGTGGGGATCTACTGATGGAAAATGCTACCCTGGGCATTCCTATAAGTCTTTTTTCATAATGAAGTCAGTAATTTTTGCAAGCTGTATATTTATATGCATTTACCAACACATCCAAGGAACCACCCCTGGGATGGAAGAAGGCAGCCCTTAAACACAGGAGAACTGCAGGCAATCACTGCTGCACCACAGTATGCAGGTTAATGCTCCTGCTCCTGGGAGGAGCAGGCTCCAGCCTGTCTGAGGAGCAAACCAGGGTGAGATCTATCTTCCAGCTCACAGGGCTGCAGCTCACAAACACCAACTGATCTGGCTGCACTGGACTGAGGTGGAGTGACACAGGTGCGGGTCCACGTCCCGTCCCCGGTCACTCCTGCTGTGCTGCTTTGGGATGTGCTGGTACCTTGCACTTGGTGGCTATCCATGTGGTCAACTGCCCAAGGTGGAAAGCAACGGAGAACCAGGCCCCAAACTAGTACCCAGCAACCACAACCCTCGCACACACTGCAAAGGGACTTTTGTCTCCCGAGCAAAGAAATGTGCTAGTTACAAGTTACAAATATACCCTTGAAATAGCATTTTTCTTGTGCAGTGTCTTAAGCCCCGTCACAGTGGTGTGAGTACCTGAGGGACCCACTAGCTATGGTTTTCCTCAAGGAACCAGAGAAAAAGACCCTTAGGACCCTTCTCCCTCCTCCACAGCAAGGATGGCCTGGATGTGTCCTGGGAAATGAGAAAAGGCACATTAAAAACTTGACCAAACTGAAGAGAGAGTGAAGAGGAGCAAGCAGTACAGACTCGGCCAAGAATCATCTGCTGGTAATTGATCCCTTCTGGTAACTGGAGCCCAAGATGCGCTGCCAAGGTTTTAACAAGAGGCTGCCTCAGAAATATTCTGCCGCAGCCTGCAGTGAGCTCTGCGGAGCAGAAAGAGCAAGTGCTGGAGAGGAGGGACTCTTCCTTTGTTCTCCCAATTAAACAAAACTGCTTTCGTGTAACTGGTGGAGCAGGCAGCACCCCAGGGCACATGTAATTTGTAACGTCCATTGGCTAGTGCTGCTTGTCCCTCCTGCAACTCTAGCTGAGCCAGGGCAGAGCTGGTGTAATCAGGGGATGCTGGAAAGTCAGGATGAGAGTTTCTTGTTCCCAGCTGGCTCAGGAAGGATAGCACCAGGTTTGCAACATGCAGCGCACCATCATGCAATATCTAGGGCTTTCCTTCAAGCCCCTCTGTCCTGGAGTCCTGAGATATAACGAAAGTCTCACTTTCATTCAAAAATTTCTGACCCTCATGGCTGAAGAAACAATTGCTCACTACTCACAGATTGGAGGGGAAATGAAAAGCACCAGCATTTATTCTGTTTCTTTCAACCTCCTGTTTTTCAGCCAACCTTGGGACGTTAGGGAACCTGGCTCACAGGGTTCTCTTGCTTGCTCTTGGCCAGCCTGCGTCCATCCCCAAGAGGGCTGATGGGAGCGAGGGCTTTGGGGAAGCAGATGGATGTCCTGGTGATTTCTGCTTTTGTGCTCAACCTTAAGCCTCCGTACTGGCAGGTGAAACAAAAAGAAATCGAGCTGCCGTAGGATTTTGGCTGTTTAATTCTCCCATCAGTGTGAACAAGCAGCGTCCGGAGACAGCCGAACACTGGCAGAATATAATCCACACCAAGATCAGCTGGATTTTCAGTGAGGACTCCAAGAAGCGCCCTCCCCAGCAGCCCTGCACCCCAGGGTGTGGAAGGCGCTTTCCTCTGGCGGGGAACGGGGATGTCGGGATTAAGCAGAGTAACAGCTCCACCCGGTGGCCCAGCTCCTCTCGGCTCCCCCTCCTCTTCTGCAGTAAAGGAGGATTTGGACATAAAAACCCTCTTGGCCTCAGTTCTGAGCGAAGTGGGGCCCCCTCTGCTCTGCCCTCGCTGGGGAGCTGCCAGCACAAGGGGCAGAGGATGGGATGAGGATGGAGCAGCCTCTGCTCCGGGTGTTTCAAGGCA